ACTGCTACTGCTACTGCTACTGCGACTGCCACTGCTACTGCCACTGCTACTGCCACTGCCACTGCCACTGCCACTGCCACTGCCACTGCCACTACTGCTGCTGCTGCTGCTGCTGCTCCTCCTACGACTACTGCTGCTACTTCTACTACGACAACAACAACAACAACTACTACTACTACTACTACTACTACGACTGCTACTACTACTACTACTACTACGACGACGACGACGACTACTACTACCACTGCGACTGCGACTGCGACTGCGACTGCGACTGCGACTGCGACTGCGATTGCGACTGCTACTGCTGCTGCTACTGCTACTGCTACTGCTACTGCTACTGCTACTGCTACTGCTACTGCTACTGCTGCTGCTGCTGCTGCTACTACTGCTACTGCTCCTGCTACTGCTACTGCTACTACGACGACGACGACGACGGCGGCGACTACATTACAGAGTCCGGGGTGTGAAGGTGGGAATGTGACTGCGCCTCAAGACCGTGTTCTGCCACGAGGGTGTGTTCGTGTTGGTCGGGTCTAGTGGGGTCGGGTGTCGTCGGGTGGATCCTGTCGGGCGGGTCGGGTCTGTCGGTTGGCACAGTCGGGTTGGTCAGATCGTCGGGTGGGGTTGGGTCGGGTGGTGAAAGGGGTCGGGTCGGTCTGCTGGAGGCTGCTTGATTCCACCTATTCTGGTCTCCGATTCGTCTGGCCGGTGTGGGAATCTGGTGGCTGGTCTGCGAGCCTGCTCCCCCGATTCGGCCGTGCTGGTCTCGGATTCGCCCGTCCTGGTCTCCGATTCGACCCTCCTGGTCTTCGATCCCGTTCCCCTGATTCGACCTTCACCCAAAAGCTTGCTAAGGCTTGGTACCCACGCGTGGAAGAGATGGGCATCAAGCCTCTGCAGATGCTGCATTGCTGGAGGCAGTGAATGCCGTGTGGCTTCGGCTTCGAAAGTGCAGCCGAAGATGGTGCACATAAGCACTGTGGGTGGTGTTCTGTCCGGATTTCAATGTGGGGTGCTGTCCCTGCTGAGGTTACTGCACCAAAGCTCTGTGCAGGATGCTGTCCGCAGCTGCGATCTCGGCGCGCTTCTGGTTCTGCTCAAGATGCTTTGCTTGGAGAGGGCTGCTGAACAAACAAGCGTAGCAGTGCCAGGTAGTGCCAGTCAGTACTTGTGCAGAGACATGTTTCTGGTAGAATGAAGCCGACTGAACCTTGACTTTCATTCAGTTTTGTGCGGCCAAGTTTGCCGTTGACAACTCACTTGTGCGCCCTGCTGTACAAGCTTGTCCTTGTGATTGTCTACTTACAGTTGCCTGATGTGCTTGCGACTTGTGGGTTACAAAAGTATTTCGGCCTCCATCACGGAATCACGGACTCACTGCATTCCTGGCAACTGACGAGTGCCCGTTCTAAGGAAAGGATGCTTGAAATCCTTGCGCTCACCTGGTGCCGTTGACAGAGCAGCTGAGCATGCGGGCACGCTGTGCTGACTGAATGTGCATCCAGTCCAGTTCCTTTCCGACGATCTCACATGCATTGTAGATTCAGGTCAGGTGCATGGCGAGTGAATGCTGCCACCACAGCTGTGGAGTTAGCTTTGTGGCGCACCACGTCAGGATGCACATTTCCGCATTGCTTCCTGTGCATGCCCATATTTCTCAATGCCTTTTTGTCGTACTTGTCTTCAAGCGTTCATACTTTGCACTCGATGAATTTCGGTTGTTGTACATTCGAGACGTGTTGGACAGGGCCTGTGCTGGGCTTCCTGATTGACTTCGTTGTGCAGAGACCAGATCATATCCTTCAAGTGGCAGAGGCTCTGTGCTCACCGTACTCCTGGACGTGGAATCATGCAAGTTGAGACAGCCTGACCAGCTGACCAGCCTGACAAGGTGATCAACATTTTGCTCACCTCCGACGACTGGGTTGCTGCCCTGCAGGAAGTTTCTCAGCCTGGAAATTCGTCTTCGCAGTTGTTGAATCACAAGTGTCAGGATGGCGCGTCTCGGTAGAAATCGATAGAATATAGATCAGGCGACTGAGAGTATCAGCCCAGCTGAAAAGGTGATGCAGGATCTTGTCCTTCAGCTCACAAGCGAGCAGCAGGCCGTCCTCGGAGTTCAGAATGCAACACGGCAGCCAGATGTAGATAAACCTGCAAGGGTCAAGGGTGCAGGCTTCCTGCAATCTGTCGGTGTGCAGATTCAGCCGGAGAGCTTGCGGGATTGTTGGCTCCAAGGATGTGCTCCTGGCGCAGCTTCCACAAACAGCAGTGGACTTGGCCCACGAGCAAGCGTCAAAGCTGTTGCAGGATGCTGGCCAAGTTCGGATTCTCGGTTTGTTGGACTTGCCTCCTAGAGCACACGAGTGGCTAATAACTTCGCCTTGACATACTATATCCTGTGCCTCTCCCACAAAATCAGGAAAGAGCTCGATCGTGTTCGTCTCTTGGCTGATAAATCCGCTGCCGATTGTAGTAGGGAACTTTTGTATACCTACAGCTTGAGGGGGGTCTCCGTGCGAAACCAGCGCGCAGATGTGCTGGGACCTGGACTTGACAGACTAACGACCTCGGTCGGTAAGTAAACTGGCGTGATTTTAACACTCACTTGACAGGCGAGTTGCCTGGCGAGCCTGGTTGATGACTAGTTCATGCGATTTGCTTGCTTCGTCATCAGTCCTTGCCCGGCATTGTCCGAGTGTGAACGTCAAGAAATTAAACCGCTGTCAACGAAGTCTGCTGGTGCTCTGACCTCTTCCCCACAGACTCATCGTACAGGCTGCTTCCTCTGCTGGAAGGAAAAAAACGCGTGTGTATATTCTTGTTCCGGGCCGGCTGCATCTGGGGCCGGCGGGTCGAAGCTTTCGTCCGGGGATCTACTGGTAGGGGATGTACTGGTAGCATTCTGAGCGCTTCTCCTTAGACTTAGTGCAGATCTAGTGTTTGAGTGTTGTGTTCCAGCACACCCAATGAGGGGTTGGCCCGAGAGTCAAGTTCACCAGTGTGCAACGTTTGTCAGCACAGCTGTCGAGCGGATCTCCTGCAAACTGCAGTTGATTTCTTAAAACATTGCAAACATTGCTTTTGCTTGTAAATTTGCAGTAAGTTTGGCCGTGATTACTCCAGTTGCTTTGTAGCACAATACTTTTTGCAAGATGCCCCGCGCCAAGGTGCTGGTTTGGGCGAGGGTGGCCTGAGATTCAAGAGCTCCGTGCAGGATCCGCTTGAGCAGTCAGTGCTGGCCTTTTCCAACTTCAGTTTCTTGGAAGCCTTTTTCCCACGCATTGGGTGCTTGAGACATATTCCGAGTTGGTTCTGGTGAAGTTCTGCTCTGCTAGGGTCCGAAATCCGGGCTCGATCGGCATTGTAGTGAAGTTGGTTTTGACACGAAACCTTACACTTGCGGGGGTTGCAAAAAAAGGAATCCCTGAAGGAGCTGCGCTTCGAGCCAAGCTACAGATCTGGCGGTCACGTGCCTTGCTCGCCTTTGGACTGCCGGTGTCTTCTTGTCTTGCTGGTCAGCATGAGCTCTTTTTCATCCAAGTAGGTTTAGACGAAGTGAGCCAGAGAACGAAGGAGAGGGAGAGAGAGAGGGGAGTAGCTGCAGTTTTTTTTCGGCGCGGTATCCTCGAGGACAAGCCGTCGATCCTATGATGCTAGTAGCGATAGAAGGGTTTTGGCCAGTCCCGAGCCGCGAGCAACAAGCCGCGAGAAGGGGGACAGAGCTGGTTTCCCAGAGTTCGTGCAGGTGGGTGGTGTCAAGAGATGCGGTCTGGGAGCTTCATCATGCAGCATCACACTCTCGGACCGCACCTTCGAACCAGCGCGCGAGCGTGCGTTTTTTTTTGGGGGGGGGATGGGGGTGGGGTGGCGGGGGTAGACAGCTCCCTGCTCTTGGCTGTGTGGAAGAAGAAAGCGACAGATGGAGAGCTTGCAGCGGTCAATTCAGGTATCGGCGGAGACTGGTGACTCTGCAGCAGCAGTGCTTTCCGGGCTGTTGCTCACCAGGATGATTGGACGTTATCATTCCCCTCAACTCCTCTGGAGACAATAGATGTAAATGCTGTGGAACTTGAGAGTTTGACGAGGAAGTATGTTTTACTGTCCGTGTGTAGGTGTCGCGAGACTAAGTTTGCTTAACTACAATGTTTGGCGGCGAAAGAGGACGCAGATTCCCACGTGCATTTATGGCATCATTAAACAGGGGGAGGGTGCTTAGCAGTGACTTTCAGAGAGCAGTGCCAGGTAAGGGAGAGGAGGAGCTTAGCCCGGCATAGCCTCAAAAAGGAGCTAACCGCGTGATAGTCAGAATGGTGAGTGCATGCCTTGCATAGAGCATGCACCTTGCCTAGGTGAAGAAGGGGGCGAGGATGCAAGTCCATCTGGCAGCTTGGGCGAGCTTACTAGTGGCTTTAGCTGCAGGATGTGTGCTCAGCATGAGTCATTTGCCGCTCGTCTTGGAGCAGTTCGGCTGTAGCCAGGCTGGCGATCCACCACCACACCAGATGGCAACCGCACCTGTAAAGCAGAGAATTAATCAATAAAGAAGAGTGAAATAGGAGGGTAGTAGGAGAGCTAGGGTTGTGGTTTTGAAGCGGGTCAGGTTACTACTACCACCAGCGCACGAAAGAGATTCGTCGCATGCCTCCGGGTGTTGCGACTGCCTCTGCTTCTGAAGTGGCTTGCCGCATTTCAGCTGCTGACCTCGACCCTACGCTTAGTTTCTGGTTCGAGCCTCACCGTGCATGTGACCCAAGGCAAGCGGTAGACCCAAACCCTGGGTCGGTGAAAGGGTCGAGGTGTTTAGCAACTCTGTCCGCAGCTGCTCGGTGGCAGTAAACGAGCGTCCTTTCCCAACATGTGCCGATCGTGTACCGCAGGACGCTTGTCAAGTCACGGTGTGGGCAAGGGGTTGCACATATCAGCCCTACAGATGCCACGATCTGAACTAGGTTGGTGCCCTGGCTTCGTGGAGCGAGTGGGGAGGCATCGACAATGCAGCAAGCTTTCCTTTTTATCTAGTCAATCTAGTCTCTCCTCTCAGAACATGCACGAACTTCAACTACAAGCGAGTCTGTGCTTCAAGGGCGGAAGTCATGATTGCGTTTCAGCTTCCACACGCTCGTGCAAACGACTGGTGCAAGTCCCTTGGCATGAACATGTAGTAGTGTAGCCCAGTCTTCACTAGGGTGGACCGGTGATGCCCTAGCATTTTTGAATCCAACGCATGCATGGGCATTACCCAGGAAGACGCTGCCACTTGGGCATCCGGAGCTGAGATGGGTGTCAAGACCACCCGAAGCACCCTTGCCAGCTGGTTCAAGTGTAACTGTTTCCAGAGACATGTCTACACCTATGGAGGAAAAAAGAATGATGTGTAAAACCTCCTCTGGTTTTTTCGGAACCAACCTACCGACCAATTGGACCGAAGATGAGCAGCAGCTGTACGATGCTCTCTATGCAGAGCTGGAGACGAAGACGAAACGTCATCCTCCAGACACTACAGATGACATGGATCCAGTCGCGGCGCAGCAGTCCGACTTCATAGCACAGTCTGGGCTGCCGCGGCGCGCCTTGCGAGAGATCTGGCAGGTGGCCAACCCACACCTCAGGGCAAACCTTGGCCTCGAGGAGTTCCGGGCGTGCTGCCGACTGGTTGGCCATTGCCAGGCGATTACTGCGGACTCGGACGACAAGGTGTGACATGTGTGACACAGTGCAGTCCTGTGTGTAAGCACTTGGCTTACCGAAAGCACGGTTTGGGCAGACAGCTATTCGGAATTTGATCCTTACCCGAAGTGTTGGCATCCTCAAGTTTTCGCCGCAGGCGCTAAAGCGCCTGCGTGCGGGCGGCGGCGGCTTGCGTGCAGACCTTCGCAGCGCCTGCCTGGGCGAGCCGCCCAAGGCACCTGTGCATTCCTTTTTGTGGACACTTCCGCACCCTTTCGTCGCTATCTCTCTATCCCCCCTTGTATACATGTCTACGTCTACATCTCTGTCAGTGTCGGTCTCTCTCTCTCTCTCTCTCTCTCTCTCTCTCTCTCCTTCTCTATCCCTTGCCGTGTAACACACTTGTGTGTGTAGGTACAAGCTCT